TTTATAAGAATGGACAGATTAATAACACTATATTAAAAAATTGTTGCCAAAGAGAAACAAATTCAAACAGTATGACAGTATACTTACCTTTAAGTCCAATAATTAGTGCATTTTAAAAAAAGATCTGTATAAAAAGAAGAGCGAAGTACATTTGGGTGAGTTTCTTGTTTTTCTGTTTCCTGGTGTAGTAAGTAATAAGAATTTGTCTGAGATGTTTAATAAGCTCTCTCTTTCTCTTGTTGCAAACTAAAAGCAAGCAGTGACAAAGCCAGTTGGGTCTTTTAAAGAAACATACCGAGAAACTTCTTCACAGTTACTGTCTTTGAAACTTCATAAGATAGAAAGTTCTCCTAAGCTCAGTTGCAGTAGTAAATGCACAGTGTCTGTATAGTTGCTAATTGTAACTGAAATCTACTTTGAGTTAATGTCTTACTTTGACCAATGCCATCACACTTGTATTATGTTCTTTGAAGCACAAATAGTTATTTATGCTGATCTGCAGTACTGCCAATTTTAACTTTGGTGTGCAGTAAATAGCTTGTCCCAGCAGTGACAGTGTTTATTTAAACAAGCCTTAGTGTACCTGCTTAACAAAATGCTGAGCCAAATTAATTATGGCAGTGTCTGTAATCACATCACTGCAGTGATCTGGTTTCCCAGCACCAGGAACACAGCACACTTAAGGCCTACACAGCTGAGATACAGCTACTGCTGTAGCCAAATTGAGCTTTGTGAACTTGGCAGTTGCAGTTGAGGTAGGAGAAGCTACCCTGGAATTGGCATTTCTAAGGAGGAGAGAATTCCCAGGGACTGTTTTCCTACTGGAGTAAATTGGCATAAGATGCACGTAAATACAGATGGACATACGGCATTTGTGTCATAATGAGGAGTTAAATCCAAATTTACTGAATGCTCCTCCACTACCTCAAAGACTTAAGTAGCTTTTACTTCTCTGTAGAATTTGTGCAGTGTGTGGCTGTGAGGGACCAGCCCTCAGGGCCTACTGTGCGAAGTGGTGTTGAGACACCATCCTGGAAGAAAACAAAAGGACTGCCTGACAAAAGGGATCTGCCCAGTGCCTATGGAAATAATGGCCTGAATATGGCCTAAGATCTCCAGATGGAGACCACTAATGGAGCCACAGGGGCCGTGCAGGAGTGAAGGAGGCAGAGGTCCACTCTAGTTGCTCAGTTTGGTCTCAACTGTGCTTATTCATGGTTAGGAAACAGTTGCCTAGGTGAAGCAGACGTATAAAAGGAGGAGCTGTGATGGTGGCCTTGGAGACCCTCACTGACACCAGCTCTGCTCTGTTTGATGTCCCAGTGCTGGACCCAGGAGAAGTCACTTTCTCTTCTCTCTAGCTTCTCTTCTGTTCTCTGTCTCTCTCTCTCTTCTATGTCTTTTCCTTCCTAAAATCATTAAGTAGTACAAGGCCTAACCCAATTTTTTCCTAGGTTGAGTAGCTTGAACATATTGTGGAGACTGGGAGATGTCCCTGAGGACTGGAGGAAGGCTACTGTCACCTCCATCTATAAGAAGGGTCCAAAGGAAGACCTAGGTAATTATAGACCTATTAGTCTCATTCAGTCCCTGGAAAGTCATGGAGCAAAACCTCCTGGGTACTGTCACAAGTCAATTAAAGCATGTGTTTGGGAAAAGCCAACATTGGAAAAAAGAGAACATAGCCTCTATTTTTAAAAAGGGGAAAAAGGAAGGCCCAAGGAACTACAGGCTGGTCAATCTCACCTCTGTGCCTGGCAAGGTCATGGAGCAGATCCTCCTGGAAATCTTCCTGTGCTAAGGCTCATGGAAAATAAAGAGGTGATTTGTGACAGCCAACATGGCTTCACTAAGGGCAAGCCATGCCTGACCAATCTGGTGGCCTTCTACAACAAGGCTACAGAGATGATGGATGGTGGCAGAGCAACTGAGGTCATCTACCTGGATTTGTGCAGGGTGTTTGACACTGTCCCACATGACATCCTGGTCTCCAAACTGACAAGGCATGGATTTGACAGATGGACCACTTGGTGGGTAAGAAATTGTCTGGATGGCCAAACCCAGAGAGTTGTGGTCAATGGCTCATTTTTTTTTGGTTAACAGCTGCTTTCTGAATGCCTCCAGGCCAGCAGTGGGAGCCACTTCCTTGCACAGAGCCCAGACAACACTGCTCAACTGATCCCAGCAAAGCCACTGTGTTCACTGGCTTAGTAAAGCTGCTTGGCACAGTGGCAAGGGGATTGTAGTAACTTCTTACTGTCAGTGAAGCCTGGTGAAGAAACAGGGAATCACTGCTTTGTCAAAACCAGTGGGTGGTAGTGTCCTTCTTCTTTGGGAGGCAGAGTGTTCCACAGAGTTTTTCCAAGTGGAATCCATTGACTCACAAACGAGTTTGGGGCTCTTCCTTGTATATGAAGCTCTCAGCTTCCACTGAGCTTGGCATCATTTTCCTTCTTCAGCCTCTGCATCTACTCTACTGCTGGTATAAGTGAGATGTTTTTTATGTTATACAAGAGTTTTCATGTCCTCACCTGTGGATTAAGTGTCTTTACATGTGGCCCAGATCTGCACGGACATTCCTTATAAAGATAAGGTGAAGTGCAGGATGTGTTTGGAGTATCTGTTATCTCACCTGTATTACAGGGTGTGGGAAACAGCCCCACAAAAGCCAGGTTCATGGTTGGACTTGAAGATCTTAAGGGTCTTTTCCAACCTAAATGATTCTGTGATTCTATATATATGTATGTAGAAAGCTGAAAGGATCAGCAGACATAAAGCTCAGTCCTGGAATCCTGACTTCTTACCTGAGTCTATAGCACAGCAATATGCCCTCTTTTTAGATGACAATGGCAAAAAGCCATCTTAAGAAGAGGTTTACTCCTAATTATGTCAGCTAGTATGTCTGAGGCCTGATGGCCATCATACACTCCTGGTGGCCTCTCTGCTTCTTTCAGGGCAGATGCTTTTACTATAGAACATTTGGCTGGGAAACTTGCCTCTGTGCAGCTGGTTTTTTTTTTCTAGGTTGAGGATATTTAAATGCTCATGCAACTGCAAAGTATCACTTTGCTAGGACAGTTGTGTTCATGTTGGGTTAACAATATATCATTACAGAATTGTTGGTAAAGCATCTTCGTTTAGTGCATGTTAAAGATTTTAAGAAAAATTCTGCAGATCTGCAGGATCTGCAACAACGATGGTGTATTTTCTGTCCAAACACTTATTTTAGGTTGGCAGATAGAAAAAAAGAGAATGAAGAGAAATAGTGTCTTCATGTACAAGTACACACTTTCCTTACAAAGTTATTTCCCAAAATACCAACCATCCTTCTGCAATGCTATAATTTGATAGTAATTGGGTCTGGCAGGTGGGATGAAGGGCTGTTCAGGGATTCACACTGCATTGTGAAGACCCAAAGAAACCCTGAGAAGCAGAGTGCTTGCCCGGGCCGATTTTGCTTCATGCTTAGGATCTGAGAAGCCAAAATGTAAACACAAGTGGATATTGGCTAGGTGTGAGTAAACTCTGGCTGGGAGATAAAAGAAGGTTCCTAATCTCTGAATATCCTGTAACAGACTTCCAAGAATAGCCAGGTCAGAGAAATATTTCTGCTTTTCAATTTAAACTTCTGTTTACCTTCTAATTGTGGGGGAGTTTGTGAGGTTACAGGTTCCAACAAAAGGCAGGAGTGAAAGGAGAAAAGTGGGCAAAGCAGCTACTACTGGAGAAAAATTGATGTCCAAATTTCAGAAAAAGCATCTGAAACTCTAACAATGAGAGATGAGTTCTCAAAAAGTAATGAGCTCAGAGGTGAGGAGTCAAAGAAGTGCTGACTTTCAGGGCCAGGTGTGTTGGGAATGACTATTCCACAGAGGGGAAGTATGTGGAGGCAAAGAGACTGCCTGTTACTATTCTGTATTGGAACCACATGTGTGTGCAGTCAATTTTTAAAAGATTTCTCTAGTTGAATGCTCTCGAATTAATCATGACTACTAATCTCCAATATTTAGAGGTAATCGTTATGTAGTGATGAGCACATACCTGAAATTTCCTGACACTTACAGAATGCTTTACATATCAGAAGTGGCTAAGTAGGGATTAATATTTCTATTTTGCAGTAACATGGAGGAAAAGAGTCTGAACTGGATGCTTTCTTGTTGGCTAGTGGTCATGAAGGGAAATCTTTGCCAAATCACTAAGAGAATCTTGCAATGTGCCAAATGCATTCACTAATCCGTGCCCTGTTTGTTTGGGTTTTTTTGTTTGTTTGTTTGTTTTTGTTTTTTGTTTTTCCTTAAAAACTGAGTACTAACAGCTCCTCTGATGATAGAAGATTGTCCAGTGCAACAAACAAAACAGTAAAAGCAGTGGTAACGCTTTGAGGTCAGAACCTGATCTTAAGCAGCTGAGACCTAATAGGAACTTAATAGTGATAATGAAGATTATTTATATGTTTCTATACAGCAAGTATTTTTATGGTAACATATTTAACTATGTGGTCATCCAAGGCTGAGATGTGGTCACTGATTTCAAAGGATACAATGATGATAAAGTCTCTGTTCTACTACAGAAGAAATAAGGAGTTCAGCTGCCTTAGGACTTCTTAAGTTTCCATGATAGAATGTATTTTCTTTGCTAAAATGCAAACTGGAAATCTGTTCAGAAACTTACTTGCATTGTTAGGCACTTAAATGTCTTTAAAATAGACCCACAATAGATTTCCTTTTAATGCAACTCCATGTTTATATTGTTCCGTCAAAAAAAGTGGTGAAAGTTGTAGTTAAGGAATTTATGTGCTTTTCTTTGTCATTGTAGTTGGTTTTTTCATGACAGTTTAGAATGGCTTTTAGGTTTTCATAGGAGAATATGGTTAAGGATCAGTATTTTCCTGAGCATTATTACATACCAGTCTTTAGTCTAATAAATGGTGTGGTAAGATCAATCAGGAAAACATGAATGCAAATGTTAACTCCCTTTTCCCCCCCCCCCCCTCTGTCTAGGATTACGATGGCTTCTTTGAATCAAAGGAGAGCAACACTGTCTTCTCCTTTCTTGGACTGAAACCTACTTTGTCATCAAAGGTCAGTGTAGTATCTCAGACTTTTCATAGAATTCTTGAAATAGTGAGATTGGATTTTCTTCTGTGTTTTTGGATGTACCACTGCCTTGATCCATACCTGGTCCATATCAGCTTCATGCTAATGAGGTAATTGAAACTGTTGCCAGGAGAAGCAAAGCATTTTAAATGAAACCAAGCATATACATGGGAGTTAATTTGAGACCACAGATAAATGTAGTTTAAAGAATACATTCTCCTTCACATTATCAATGTAAATTGAAAACAACTGACTTACTTGTAACAGGAGATGGGACTGGGATCTTAGTCACTGGAGTATCTGCAGCATATATCACCAGAACATCATTTTACTGGGCCAGCCTGGCATAAAGGCTCAACCAAGACAGCATTTATTGACACATTATCAATGTAAATTGAAAACAACTGACTTACTTGTAACAGGAGATGGGACTGGGATCTTAGTCACTGGAGTATCTGCAGCATATATCACCAGAACATCATTTTACTGGGCCAGCCTGGCATAAAGGCTCAACCAAGACAGCATTTATTGATTAGGCTTTTTTTTTTTTTTTTTTTTTTTTAGTGCTGAAATGCAGGAGCAGTCAGGAGTTATAGCAACTCTTTGGATAAGACTTTAGTTTTAACAAATAAATATATACAGGTCAGAAGACAAAGCCAGTTAACATTTTTTTGTTGAGGATGGTATAATAGAGGAGATTTTATTGACATATGGAAGCCTGGAAACTTGCTCAAAGAGACTGCATGGTGCACCTTCGGGCAGTAGATCAGACACATGGAGGAGGATTTTTCTTCTCTTGGCCACTGTAGATACAGCTGTGTTTGGTAGCAGTACTGTTTCAGGCTTGTATGGTAGTTCTTTAGAGTTACTCTTCTGCCAGGGATTCATTTATTTATGAACCCCATGAGGGAGAGAAGTAGGAGGGAACCTCAGCAGGGAATGACAAAAGCAGGTTATTTTGGCAGCCTGCCTTGCTTCTTAGCTTGGAAAACTAGTTCTAGGGAAAATATTATGTCCTACTGCAATCAGAAATAGCAGCTTCCATGCAGCTCTGTTCCTGGGAAACAACCTCTTGTAGGCCTGGAGGAGCATCTCTATAAAGCTGGCCAGATCACTGTTTTGGTCTGGCAGTACTTCAAAGAGATGCATGCTCAGCTGCTGTGGAGACCTGGGTTAGGACACCTTGCATGTGAAAGTCACAGACACAGGAGATGAGAATGTATTCATAGCATCAATGGTATTTTTTTCTCTTTTCTTTTAAATAGGAGTCAGAACCCTAGAAAGCCTATCTGAAGTATCAACGAGCACATCTCCTGGATGAATGACCCTGTTCTTCAGCACACAACAGCTTCCCTAATGGATCACTGTGATAGAGCAAACAAGCACCATTAGTAGTAGTCTGCTTGCCATGACATGGTGCTCTCCAATAACATGAAGTTAGTAACACATATATGAAACAGGATTAAGGCTTAAGGACAGGCTACTCATCTTCCTTTTCAAAAATACTTGTTGGTGTTTCACTTTTGTCTTTGGATTGCTTCTGCAACTGGCACAGATATTCTAACAGACGTGTTTGAGAATAAGGAATGGAAGTGTAGGGCTTCTCTTGTTCATGGATATACTTACATAGTCAGAGTCCTTACCTTTTTAATTCTTTCAAATACTGTAGTTTAAATTATCCCATCATAATAGTTAAAGTGCTGATAATTATTAGAATGTTTGTGCTGGCTGTGATCCAGAAGGTAAAAATAATCAATCTTAAGATCTCAGTCTAAGACAATAACTGCCATATTTTTGCTCTGCATTAATTTAATGTGATGCTTATGCTAGATCATGTTTATTTGAAGAGACATGGTCTGCTAACCTGGTTCATGAAAACTTGATTTGTCTAATGATGCACATTGCAACTGGCTGTTGAAAAACGTGAAGGTGGTGCCAAAGTGAAATGTTTTTATATGGTTCCTGTTCCAAATGCAGGTGAAATGTGCAGGAAAACACCTGATGGAAAATACTAGGTAGTTTGGAAGATGAGGTCTGATAGCTAATGACAATATTAAGTTATCTCTTAAATCTTAAGATTTCTTAATCTTAAGAAAGGTTTCACACCCAAAGTTGGAGCTCTGTAGTTGGGCTGTTTTAAAATGAGATTTTGCCAAAGCCTTGAGTTTACCTTCAATAACACAGAGCTCTACCATAGCCACATGAGAGCCAGGAGGATGCTTAGAGAGCCCAGTCTCAGTCCCTGAGTCCTAGATGGTAGAACACTCTACGTTCTACCATGGCCCAAGAGCTAGGCTGTCCAAGAGCTAACTTGCCCAGCTGTTCTCCTGGTTGTAATCCCAGGTGTGGAAATGTGGAGGTGCCTCAAAGACAGTGAGAAGGCTGAGTGTGTGCTCAGCTGCATGAGACCACGATGGTCAGCAAAGCTGAGTAACAGGAGCCAAGTAAAGGAAGTGGATATTGTTCCAGAAGGACTGCATTCATGCACACAGCAGAACTTAGACCCATGACTTGCCAATAACTGTGACAAAAAGCATTCTAGACAGAAGTCAAGTTGCATTATGTGTTTTGAATCAAGTCTGGCTATGGAAATAACACCTATGCTGTAATGTAGCTTTACTCAAGTGATTGCATAATGACAGGGTAGTGCCATTCCAGTAAATGTCCTTACATCTTTGGGTAAATTAAGGACAGCCATTATGTGGGAAAGCTTCTTTGCAGTCACAGCATCACTCAGACTGTGTGGCTCTAAGGAAGTCAAACTTCTAAAAAGTGTCAGAAAGCAACCCTGTCTGTGCAACAAATCTCATGTTCTGTTAAAATCAAGGGATACCTGTAGGTCATCTGGTCTAGCACTGTCAAAATCAAAGTTAGCACCAACACTAGCTCAGATGAGATACAGGTTTGTCTAGCAGAATGTTAAAAATATCCAAGGACGAAGATCTCATAACCCTCTAGGTAACCTCTGCCAGAGCTGCAGTACTCCTAGTGAAAATTTTCTTTTTAATATCCAGCCTCAACTCCCAGGCTGTAATTTGTCACTTTGCTTATTTTCTGGCACTCACAGGAAGAGATTGGCACCATCCTGTTTGTAACTGCTCTTAAGGTAGTTGTAGGCTACCATTAGGTCACCTTTTAGGTGCCTTCTTACCAGACTAAACAAATGTGGCTTCCTCAGCTTTCTTCACAGGCTGTGTGCTTTAGGACCCTAGATGCTTTGCTTTGGTGGAGGGCTACTTTTTCCTGTTTGTTCACATCTCTCTTGAGCTGGGAGAAGGTCCCAAAACAATCTTTCAGATGTGGCCTTGCTGGTGCTGAGTAGAGTGCAATAATGACTTCCCTCAGCCTGCAGGCTGTGCTTCTAGGGTAGTGCACTGTGTGCTTTCCCCTGCTTGCAGTGCGTGCATTGGTGGCTTTTCAACCTGGCATTCACTTAAAATCTCCAGGTCCCTTCAGCAAGGTGTTGGTCTGTCAGTTGCTTCCCAACCCATGCTGATGCCTCACCACCCTCAAGGGCAGAACTTTCTACTCTTCCTTTTCAAACTTAATGAGGTTTCTGTTGTCACAGAGACCTCAAAGTAACTGAGATGCCACTGGACTGAAGCTCTGCCAGCTGTTACCAACCACTGAACCAGGTTCATGTATTATTCACAGATTTGCTGAGGGTGCATGCTAGGTCATCATTCAAGTCCCTGATGATGATGCTGAACAGTAGGAGAACTGTAACCCTCAGGTTGTGGACAGTGGCTTACTCATGACTACAGAGGTAGGACATGAATAATGTTCATAACTACCAGTTGAGGGAATAAAGAACAGGTTACCTGCCTGTTCATGTCTTAGCTGCAAACTGTATACAGCTCTGTGGCTTTCCCTGCTAGTGCAGAGACAGGAAAGCTTTAAAAAAGGAGATGTTGAAGGAGTCCATCCATAAATCAATTTCTGGTGCCTCCTCAGCTCAGTTAAAGGGCGAGATGAAGGAAAAGCACACAAAGATTTAATGTCCATACTTGTATTTGCTGGTCAAAATCTAAGCTACGTCACGTTCTTTAGAGGAGTCCTGAACAGGAGTTGGTAACATGCATATACATATATGTATATACATAGATATGCATGTGCATTTTTAAGAATTATGTTGTCTGTGTTAAGTTATTGTGACATTCTTGTCACCAATCCCAAATTTTCAAGAGACTTGAACATTGTTATAGGAAGGGAATGTGATATGTGGTGGAGCTGTGCATTACTAACTTCACCAAATTTAATGTAAGTGTTCCTAAAAAAAGGTAAATAAAAATATTTACCTTTGCCTAATTTACATAATTACACAGTTGATTACAGAGAAGCCATCCTGGATTTATTGTGTACTTGAGATGTTTTAAACTTTGAGAACTGCCTGAAGTCCCAGTCTCTAAAAGCTGACTTAAGTGTGTGAGTATATCCACATGAGTAATCCTGGACAAAATCCCAGGCTTACTGATATGAAAGGCAAAACCACACTGATTTCTCCAGGGATGAGATTAGTTTCACAAAATTCCTCTTGAATTTTGATTAATTGTAGAATAGAAGCCTCCTGTTCACTGGAGACATAGTCCTGTTAGAGCTGTTAGGTAAACCTAGCTTATTCCAGAGCATCCATGTGGGCATAATCAGTTGTATGGAGGACAACACTAGCTCCAAAGAGACCCTGCTGGTCTGCATGGATTGGCAGTGTGAGTCCCTTAAGACTATGTGCTTTTGAATTCTAAGTGGCTAGTTTGAAACAAGGAAGTATAAACATTGTTTGAATATGAATCTGGTCTGTTGTGTGACAGCCTTATTTTTGTAATTAAAGCAAATAGAGTTCTAGTTTGTTACATAGGAAGATGTGGAATTTTTTTAACCATTTTTGTAATGATGAAATGTAACTAGTAGGTAACTGAAAAGGTCTGTGGAAACTAGAGCCATTTATTGAAAGAAATAGCAAAAACTTAATTTTGTTTAAAATATTTGGATAGAAAGGTATGCTTGAGAACTGAATGATCCCACTTGTTTTTGGCTAATACTTGTAACCACCCCACTTTTTAAAAGGGAGAATAGTGTGAATTAAACTGTGAGTCTTTGTACCTAGCTGAAGTCGCTGTGTGGACTGACGTGCACACACACATTCACTGTATCAGTGGCTTTGATAGAGGTGGTTTTGTTTGTGCCACACACTACTGGATAGTGCCTTGCCAGAAAGAGGACTGTTACTGTAGGGTCTTCTTAGATGTGTTTTAATTTTGAACTGAGAAAGGGGTAGTTTCTATATTGCTATTTTTTTAATAATGCAGTAAATTGATTTTGAGGCTTGAGTCAAAAGTCACACGCTTTGTAAGGTTGAAACAGGTTTTGATGAGTCTTCTGAACTCTTGGGGTTTTTTTCGTGTAGCTTTCTCTTTTGTTTTTCTTTTCCTTTTTGTTGACTGTCTGTGATCAAACCTTCCAAGGGAATTGGACCTGGAGTAAAGCCCCTGAATCCATGTTTACACTTTAACTGATTCAAGTGTCGAGTGGCCCAACTGCTATCACTGAAGTGAAGAGGAGCTACCAAGCTCTTAGGGGGTTTCTTGGTACTCCTGCCCTGCCCCCCCATCAGGCCATTTAGTTAAGGAGTCCAATTCTGGGAATATCATGATTCAGAAGTAGTACTCTGAGATTTTAGGCAGTGCCTTGTGGCGCTTCACAGGAGTGCAAGAGTGGGGTCATCACCAGGAAAGTGCCAAATCCCATTAGTCTCCAGGGACTTGCCCACGGATTTCACTAGATCTTGGGGCGAGCAGTGGGAAGAGGTGGGAGCCCCACGTGTTCACCCTGCGGGGAGCAGGAGTGGAAGACGTGGTGCAGAAGGGCCCATGGCTTGGTGATGGCACCCTGAAGGGTGATCCTCATGGAGGTCCTTGGCTGGCTGTGCTGCGTGTGAACCCACACAGCGCTGCTCTCCACGGGACTCCATCTGCATCTTGGCCTCTTCTTCACCCTCCTGCTCCCCAAGGAATTTGGTGGGGGAAACAGAACAGCTGCTAGAGAGCATTCCTTCAGCCAGGGCAGAAGTGGCTTACCCTCTTCTTCCTATTCTTCGCCTCTTCCTCGTGTGCTTTGTCCTGTCCCGTGTAGACTTACCTGTGTGCAAAGCTTCCACTCCCGACCATTTGTAACATCCCTGTGAGGCTGCAAGTGCAGAGCTGGTGTTCACCTTCATGGCATCAGTGTTTCCTAACTCAATGGGGTAGGGAGCACTTTGCATCCTAGGCTGTGTACACGTGGAATTTTAAATTATATGTTGAAATCGTGTTCGTCTAATAAAAAGAAAAATACAATTAAAAATATATATTTGAATTGTGTCGTGTGTGCCGAAGAAGACAATGAAAAAACACGAGTCTTTATCCCTGCTGCAGCTCCCTCTGGTGACAGCCTGTGCTTTGGCTCGGGCAGCCCGGCAGATGGAAGAGCCCTGCCGAGCTCTTCTCCTGGGATGGGGGAGACTGTTCTGCAAGATGCCAAGTGGCTTAGATCCCTGTTGACCCAGTGGGAATTGCAATGTGCAGAATACCTGCTGGGTTAGGGCCTCGGTCCTCCTTGGGGAAATAGCAGA